AGATAGATAGATAGATAGATAGATAGATAGATAGATAGATAGATAGATAGATAGATAGATAGATAGATAGATAGATAGATAGATAGATAGATAGATAGATAGATAGATAGATAGATAGATAGATAGATAGATAGATAGATAGATAGATAGATAGATAGATAGATAGATAGATAGATAGATAGATAGATAGATAGATAGATAGATAGATAGATAGATAGATAGATAGATAGATAGATAGATAGATAGATAGATAGATAGATAGATAGATAGATAGATGATAGATTAGATAGATAGATAGATAGATAGATAGATAGATAGATAGATAGATAGATAGATAGATAGATAGATAGATAGATAGATAGAAGATAGATAGATAGATAAACATAGGTAGATTCACAAATACCTGGATGGATAGCCAGCTTCTGATGTGGACCTTGTGAAGTTGAGAATTGAACACTGATTGTGGCATTGGGTGACATATACTTTCTTGCTAAATCAGTAAGAATTGGAGGATGTATGTGTATTCCGTTAGTCAGATCATTTTGTGTAACCTGTGCCTACCTCGCAACCACAACCCACCGCTACGCACAACTACGCACTGATGATGTCACCTCGATTGGTGATGAAACGTTTGCAACCAAATTGCCCAGCTCAGCGAACAAGCCAACGACCATCTACGCCACCTGAGCTACCGACATTCTCCTCTATAGAAAATAAATTGAGTCAAGCTTAGATTTTACCCCTTGACAACGGGACAATGGGTCAATCTGGCGGGTGAATATCGATCAGCTTTGCAATTTCAGTTCAACTTACGAAATTCCATAAGTTTCTCTCCGATTTGAGCCTACCTGCTTATGAGTCTATATGAATGGGTTAGCCACACCCGGGGTAAGTAGTTTCTCTTGAATTTCTTTGCCGCGGCTCAACTTTGACACATCCAAATTCGCCGCTTGAGGAAACTTTTTGTTTGTTTTGCAAAGGTCTCTATTTGGTTCATGGAAAGGTAGTGTAGAATGCAGTATCTGAGCTTTAGACGGCTTATTTAAGGATAGGTAGCGCCCATCACAATTTATCACCTAACTGTAGCACAGCTTTCGTCACCACACCGGGTTGACTGCCACTCTCTTGTGCCTCAATCATCAAATGCATACAAGCAAGCCGTGGAACGAAAGATTCGCCCAGCCCAATGACCAGTTTCGCTTCAAGCACAGCGGGTTTTCTATAAACCCCGCCAGTTCCGCTCCGACAGGCGCGGTTAGGTCATAAAGCCCCGAGATACTGTTTGCCTTGCGTTCCCTATCCTAACATCGAGGAAATTCAACCTTTAGTTTTCTTCATGGAGTGCGTACCACAAAATACAAGGCAAGTATGTCGGGATAGAACCACTCAGGGGGCTAATGCCTTTCTTCGTGAGGTGTTTAAAACGACCGTACAACGTAAATGAAACTACTCATAAGGTTGCTGAAAACTCTTCGACAGCTTACGACCGGTTTCACCCTTCTTGAGGCTCACCAGGTAGGCGCAGTCCCCGAGTTTCCATCAACCTTATGTTCTACTTGAACCCAAATCGGGCTGTTTTCGAGAAATACACTCATTTGCAGATCAATTTGGTTTTCACGAGAGACTCAACTGAATCTCTTGTTTTATGATATTCTACAACTGAATGTGCTGCACACAGGCCGCCTCATTTACGACGTACTTGTACTTCCTAGTCCGTTGATACGATGTACTTTTGTGTTTGCTGCGGTTGTGTCTGGAATGTGAAGGGATAATCTTTGATTTTAAAAAAAATGTGATGCACTGTCATCCACACATTAGAAGAACACCCTTTATCTGGCCAATAAATGATTTGGGCGAAATGGCCAGTGATTTTTGCGACCCGTTTTCAACGTTGAGTTTTTTTTACACCAGCTGGCCGATGTGAAATCTTAGTGAGTTCTTGATTTGGGCTTCCAGCGGGGTTCGCTCACTAAAACATGGTTGAACCTGGAATTTAGTCTCGTGGGGCATTTTCAACTCCATACGTAGGCGATGCAGAGAATCTTCGGGTTCCGGACCGCCTCAGGTAATCTGACTAAAGAAACTACTCACAAGGTTGCTGAAAACTCTTCGACAGCTTACGACCGGTTTCAGCCTTCTTGAGGCTCACCAGGTAGGCGCAGTCCCCGAGTTTCCATCAACCTTATGTTCTACTTGAACCCAAATCGGGCTGTTTTCGAGAAATACACTCATTTGCAGATCAATTTGGTTTTCACGAGAGACTCAACTGAATCTCTTGTTTTATGATATTCTACAACTGAATGTGCTGCACACAGGCCGCCTCATTTACGACGTACTTGTACTTCCTAGTCCGTTGAAAGTGTGACCCACATTTGGTAGGCCACCATCAAGTGGTGTACATCGGAGCAAAACATCTGGCATTCTCGGATCAACCGGATGTTTGGCCATAAAAATGGCATTTCTTGGAACTGAACTGTGAGATCTTGACGTAACTTTGTAAAACGGCTTTTGAAAAAAGACATTCTGCCCTTGCTGGCGTTGACCCAGAGGAATTTTCATTTTTCTGATCGAAAACGGGTGCTAATCAAACAAAAACACTAAGTTTTGCAACAGTACAT